GGAAAAGCAGCACTCTGAATAACCCTGATTTTAACAGTTTTCATAGTATAAATAACCCCCATTGGCTGAGTTCATGTTACCAATGTAGCAATCTTGAATTCAGAGTTGGGAAGTGATGTATGCATTCTCTCTAGCTGGAACAAACTGGCTATAGCATACCATGAGTGGAAACAAGTTTTGGAGATAAAAAGGAGCTTTTGTGTCCTGTCATCTTGACTGGCTCTAAACCAGGATCACAGGGCTGCCCCTTCATCAGCTCTTCAAAACAATGAGCATGTTTATTTCTAGGAAACCTTACGTTATATTAAAATTGTGAGTTGAATGATGAAACCTGGTATTATTATATGCCACTTACCTCAGCACAACTTAATAGATGTCTTTTTAACTTCGATTCCTTGCATTCAGAATGTGACCAAAAAATCTGATAAACTGAACATAATTGGGAGAACACAAATTAAAGTTATGTCATTTTTACCAATTATTTATACCAGAAATTATTCTCTATACAGAAAATTGCCTTTGTTTTTCAACCTTGATTTTTAAGGTTAAATATTATGTTTCTATTTGTAGACAATACTCATCTTCTCTTCCTTCTCTAATATTTATTTACTCACTCAAAACCTGTCTTCTTTAAAGGCTTGACAATTGTTTTTTTTCCTATGCATTTACTCTTTAATTCAGTCAATAAATATGGAAGCTATACTATATGCAAAACACTGTTTTTGGGCTTTTAGAATAAGAAAGTCTGACAACTGCAATCTCCTGGATATTCTGGCTTTGCTGTCTCCTATGGGTTCACTGTATTCATCCTTGTGGTGGTCTTGCTAATTGCATCATATTCACATTTGACTAGGTGCAGAGGAAGGAAGGTGACAACTACTTCCTCCTCCTGTTTTTCTTTCTTCACAAGAAGAAAATTCTCCCAGTTATCCCTATTACACTGACAAGATTTGTTCACACACCCTATTCTAGGCCATGAGGAAAGTCAACAGTTAGTGGTAGAAAACTAGATGAGAGACATTACTGATTAAATAGAAATTTGAGAGACTTGAACAGAAACACTGGGGTGGGAGATAACTCTCAGGTTAGGTGTGAGTGGCCTCTCAGAGGGCAGAGCATTCACTAGCGCAAAGAATAATGGGAAAACCATAGTATCTGGCTTCTTGATATCAAGACACTATGAAGGCATAACCCAACCTAAGTTTTCCTTTTGTATTTTCTGGCTTAAACTGTGGGGCTAAAGTGAGACCTCATCTAACAAATCATTGAATGGTCAAATTTGACTTAAAGTGACTGGATCCTGGCCAGGAACTTTTGGAGTACACTGGTCTCCTCAGATTGGTCGTTGAGAAGGAGGAAGCAGCAATATTGAACACAGGCAGGCAGGCTTCAGTTATAGCAATGTGAATCTTTATCAGGAATGCATGCCTGGGTGTACCTCTATCTCTAGTAATAAAGTGGATCTCAGCAAAGAGTGTCCTCCATAGGCATTACTAGGGGAATAACAGTTATTTTTAGTTTAACCCTTATTCAGATAGATCCTATCTAGAAACATCCCAGAACTGTGAATATACTTGTATTTTCACGGGACTGTAGTAATGGCACATGGGTGAATTGGTGGTGGGAAGTCTGCAGGGATTAAAACCAAGATGAAAAAATATACAAAATGAAGATTGATGTGTGTGTATGTATATATGCATTTTTATACAAAAATAATTTTATATAATTTTTTTTAATTAAAAAGGAAATATGCTTGTGTTCTAATGCAGATAAATTTTCCCATTATGAGTTCATCAACTTCAAGTTAATGATGAGAAACTACCCAAACAAAAGTGTGTTCCTTATTTCTGAATAGTTATCAAAATAAGTGTCATATGTAAATGAGTATCAACCCATTTTATAACATTTCACTAGCATTAATATTGGCATTGAATGGGAAAATGAGATAATTTGTGATGAAATTAGGATCTATCTCTGTATTTTAGGGTGTTTTATTAAAACCTGAAATGTTTTCAGTCTGATCTGACCTGCTTCTTTGATGGTGATTTCATGTAGTTCATTGAGAGTTGTATGCTAAGCATGTCTAATGCTAATGAACACCAAGTACAGGAAAACATGGTTATTTTTCATGTATACCACAGACATTAATCAGTGTTTTAATTCACCATGCATTGAAAAAAGTTAACTCAGTCTCCTCACAGAAACTAAAGTGAGAGTAAATTAAAATGGTGGGACAGTCACCCTAGTAAACCAGTTCCATAATTTTATGTTGCTGATAATATATGTTATTTACAAAAACATGCAGAAAACCTTCCAGCCCAGAGTTAACTAAAAAAGAGAAAATTCTACTGTCATAGGAGAAATGAGTACATCAAAAATCAGGCAAGACTGATTTTGTGACTTTGTTCCTCTCTAGAGTTTTATGGGAATCTTATTGTTTTATATCTATTTAATCCAAAGATTATCACTGAATGGTAACTATTAGTTCTCATTCATCAGTAGCTAACAGGAAAAGATAGAGAAAAGCATTAGTAACAATAACAATACAGTAGCTTTTACCCAACATTGGCTTATCAAGTGCCCATAAGTCAGCCCTCATCTTAGATAATAAAACTGGAAATACTACCTTGCTACTTAGGAATTTCAGCATAGAAGAGAAATGTGAATTGAGAAACAAATGAATACAGGTTTTTAAATTTCAATTTGACATGGAAAAGTAATTTCCTAATAGCATTTGTGTTTTTTGAAAGCTCATATGTGGTATTATAAAGCAACCATAACTATAATCATTTTGGTATTAAAAAAAAAAAAGACACATGGAACAGTGGAACAAAGCCAAGAGCCCAGAAATGAATCCACAAATATATGGCCATTAATTTAGTATAATAAAAGAGCCATGACCATGCAATGGATAAAGGAAAATCTCTTCAACAAATGGTGTAGGGAAAACTGGGCAGCCACAATTAAAGAATGAAATAGATCACTCTCTAACTTCAAAATTAATTAAAAATGGCTTGTATATAAGACCCAAAATCATAAAACTTATAGAACAAAACATATGTTTTATGTTCCATTATATTAACAGTTAGAGAGATATCTTTGGGGACTTCAACCCAATAGCAAGAGAAATGAAAGAAAAGTAAAAATTGGAATTATGCCAAATTAAAAAGCTTGAACAGAGCATAAGAAATAGCAAATTAAAAGATAACCTCCTGGATGTGATATGACAATTGTACATCACACATCCAAGAAGGGGTTAATATCCAAACTTTATGAAGAACTCATCCAATTTAACAACAATGACAAAAAAAAAAGATTAAAAAATAGACATTTTCCAGAGGATAGATATACAGATGACCAATGTTCATTGATCAGAAAATATCCATCATCTAGGCCTTCCTTGGTGACACAAGGGGTTAAACTGCAGCACTACAAGCTAGCTGCAGCTGCTTTAGTTTGAGTTCCCTGGTCAGGGAGCTGACCCACATGGCATAGTGGACCTGTTCTGCTCCCTACTCTGTCTCTGGTGAGTCCTCTCAACATACCTGTACCTCTGACCTATACCCCAGTTCTGTATGCATAAATAAATAAATCTTTAAAAGAAAATATCCATCATCACTTCTTAGAGAAATGCAAATCAAAACCACAATATGATGCCATTTACACCAAAGAGAATAGTTTCCATCAAAAAGTCTACTAACTACAAGTATTGGTGAGAATATGAAGAAAGAAGTCCCTTACACATTTTTGATGGAGAGGTAAATGGTGCAGCCATTTGGAAAGCAAATGTGATCCTTTCTCAAACTAAAAAAGGAAGCACCCAGCATCTGGGTATCTGTCTGGAAAATCTGAAATCATCAACTCTAATAGTACTGTGAACTACAGTGTATATTGAAGCATTAATAGCTAAGATATGAAAAGAAAGTAAAACCCACTGGTAGGTAATTCCATAAAGAAGTTGAAATAGGGGTATACAATGGGAAATTAGCCAACTATAAAGACAGATGTAATTTTGCCATTTGCAACAAAAGAGAAGAAACTAAAAGGAGATTATGCAAAATGAAATAGATAAAGACAAATGTTGGATGAATTTGACTGTATGTGCAATATAAGTAAATAAAGCAGTTGAAAAGAAAAATAAATAAGTAAAACTAGTGAATATCAGTAACCGAAATGAGGTTACCAGGGGTGAAGAGGATGGAGAATGGGGGCCAGCAGAGGGGGTGATGACATATTATAAAATAAAAATAATTGAAAAAATGTTTATACATGCACTTAGTCAACTTTCACTTTCTGGTGTTTGCTGTACAAAAATTTGAAAAGCTGGGCCCTCTGAGGTGGTGCAGTGGGTTAAAGCATAGCACTAGGAAGCTAGCTGCAGCCACTTCAACAGGAATTTAATCCCTGCCAGGGAGGTGACCTACATGGCACAGCAGACCTCTCCTGACCCATCCCCTGCTCCCTTCAGTAATGTACTTTGTTGATCTGCCTGTTCTGCTCCCCACTCTGTGTCTGGTGAGTTTTCTCACACACACACCCTGCACTTCAGCCTCTACCCCAGTTCTGCATAAAGAACTGATTTAAAGAGATTTATAAATCTTTAAAAAAGAAACTTATTTATGCCTATAAAAGCAGGGGTACAGGCTAAAGGCATGGGAGTGGGGAGGTGGGCATGAGAGGCTTCACCAGAGACAGAGTGGGGAGCAGAACAGGCAGATTTACTAAAATACGCTGCTGAGGGAAGCAATAGGTGAGATAGGAGAGGTCTGCCATGCCATGTGGATTGCCTCTCCAGGTGGAAATAGGACTTGTGCCTAAGTGGCTACAGATAGCTTCATAGTGCTATGCCACTAAATAAAGGGGACCAATAAATAAAGAAATGTCTGGTTTTTTTTTAAAGGCCTATTGAGACAGGCAGGGAGAGCTCACAACTTTGAGAATCTGAACTCAAACTATTTCATATAAATGTTTAATGTAACATTCTATATTCTCTTTTATAGGAATTTAGATTTGATCGTTTCGTAGAAGATGGTAAGATTAAAACCACCTTTTACAAAAGAGGGGAAAAGATTAAGCATTATCTATTACCTTTTGGATTTGGAGCCAGCAAATGTCCAGGACGATTTTTTGCAATCATGGAAATAAAATTAATACTGATTGTACTTTTAACTTATTTTGATTTAGAAATAATTGATGATAAACCTGTAGGACTGAACTATGATCGCTCTTTTCTTGGTATTCAGCATCCAGATTCTGATGTTTTATTTAGATACAAAGTGAAATCATAAGAAATTAAAAGGGGCTACCCTTGGCTCATTTATTTATTGTTCATTTCTACCAATGTAACTGATTTGTATGTTTGTTTACTTAAAAAAGTGCCAATTTCAAGTTCTTATGACATCAATCAGGTCTTAATCACAAAATCCATTATAAAATAAAATAGGATGATGATACCAAAAAAATAGTCAATTGAATGATAAACTTACAATAACTCCTATAAGGTTCTACAAACTGATTTTTACCTGTCATAGTAAATGTGCCTTCAGAGTAATAAATTTAGCACTTTTTATACACATTCAGTATCTTCACTAATATGTACAAAATATATTTTTTGTCCTTCTGAAAGTTTTGCTAGAAATGGACAAAGTCTAACAAGTACTATGTTCTCAGAGAAGGTAATTAAATTTCCCTGAGCTATACTAGATAAAAATATTTCCTTCAAGTATGTTATCACTCATGTCTGAGTATTGACAGGGTATATTTACATTAAATGCATCAACTTCACTTTAAAAGCTTATCAACCAAAAATGTTCTTTATAACTTTGTATACTATGTTCCATAGCAGAATTTTTTTGTTTCATAAGTCCACTTGTCTCCAAGTTAGATGCATGAAGGGCTTTCATGTGTTCTCTTTGTCTTTGGCATTTTTAGTTTCTTTCTGTTTTTTGCGCTTTTATGTTATGGTGTTTCTTGAGCCTGAGAATGGATCTTTTATCTATTATGGAATGTTCTCAACTATTATCTCTAAATATTACATTTCTCTGACTATATTAGATCCTCTTGTTTTATATTTCATGTGGCTTGACCTTGCCTCCCCAGGTTTTCTATCTCTAACTTACATTCAGTTTCTTCAGATCTCTTCTGAAGTTTATTCTCAGTACAGTCTTTTTAGTCTGCTCTTTAAATCATTCATTGGGTTGTTTTCTTTTTAACTTGTGGCTCATAGGATTGAGTAACCATATCCCTTAAACCTCTTTGTTCATGGTATACAATTAAAATTGCTCCGAGGTTCTTCTGGCTTTATTCATTCATTCAGTTTTATCCTAATCCGCATCACCAAACAATCCCCATCATAAGTGAAGATGCTTGTGTTTTGGATGTGTATAATTTCCTTTTGCTTGGGTGCATATGTTTTTAATCTGTATAAATGTATTTTCATAAGTCATATCTTTTATAATTTTTCTTACTAAGCTCTCTATATTAAATCTATTGTTTTTAACAGCTGCAAAGATTTCCATAATATTCACCCACCATCATACTTTTTAAAAAATATATAATAGTTTATTTTTACATCATTTTGTGCATTTTTCCATCTCAGTTGTAATCCCCTTCGGCTTCCCATCACCAAATCACCCATGTGCCATCACCATAATCCAGTGCACTTCCCTTCCCCCACCTCCCATTCTGTTAGAATCTAACCCTGTCATGGGCAATCGACAAGAGAGACATTTTGAGTTTTTTCCCCATCACCCAGTCTGATCACTGAGTCAAGGTAAGAAGACCTACAGTCTTGCTTTGTGGCAAGGCTTCTTTCTAGTTAATCTATTAAAGATGTTACTTTTTTTTCCCAGTTTTTGCATTTTTTCACTTTGGATATCCAACTTGAGTTTACTTTCAGTACGCTCCTATATGAACAAACTATCTGTACATTTTTTAGTTACTTGAAGCTATTTTTTTAAATAAATAATATAATAGTTTATTTTTACATCATTTTGTGCATTTTTCCATCTCAGTTGTAATCCCCTTGGGCTTCCCGTCACCAAATCATCCATGTGCCATCACCATAGTCCAGTGCATTTCCCTCCCCCTCCTATTTTTGATCCCATTCCCCATTCCACCCCCATAAAATGTCTCTGGTATATAGGTGTTCATTATTATTATTATTATTATTATTATTATTTTCTCGCCTGGTC